TTCGTTTGGGAGGAGGCGGCGCAGTTCAGCTCAGAGACCGGTCTGGTCTCTGCTAGCGCAGGGGTCGCTGAGGGAGCGCCACACGCCAAGAGCACGCAGGACGATCCCTCTTCACAAGCCAAACAAGGAAATGACACCCTCCAAGCAGACGGCAGATGAGCCTCACTAGTGATCCCAGCCAGGAGGGCGGGAGGAATGGCGTCCCAACTTGGACAGAGGTGTATCTCTTATACCAGGAGGAGGCCCTCGGCAGACCCGGAGCGAAAATTCCAGGACTGAAAATAATAATAAAGCAAAAAGGAAACTTCTCTCCCTGAGTTTCAGAGGAAAAACACACAACATATTTGCTGCCCAGCTGTCCACTGATGCTGCAGAGAGGACTAGAGCCGCCCGCCCAGGCAGGGTGAGCTGTGCAGTCTGTGCCCTGGGCAGGGAGGCCTTCAAGCTCAGACTCAGAAACGCATCATTGACAGAGCAACCGGACTGGTCACCTTCACAGCGGAAACAACCGCCAGAGCTTCCCCCTGAGGGCCGTGGGGAACCCCACACAGTGCTCAGGGGAGGGAAGGGCAGGCAGACCCCAGCTGCTCTCTCTTCCCGGGATAAGCAGTTTAAAAGTTTACCATTTTACAGTAACTGCTGAGGGGCTCCAGGAGCTGTTTGCAAACTCTTTCTCCCTTTCCTATTTACCCCCCTTCCTGTCCTCGAGGCTGAGCGGCAGGCAGGCTCTGCTCCAGCCACCCTCTCCCTGTGCAATGGCACTGACCATGCAGTCAGTCCTCCCGCCCCCAAACCCGCCATTTCTCCTGGGGGCCCTCCCCCAGAAAGGAAGTCATGGTTTGTTTACCACCCCCAACTACTTGCTGAATACGGTTTGCTGTGCCCTGCATGGCGGTTCCCACGGGCTCCCTAGGGGGACTCAGATATGGACCAAAACCATCGGGCTACATGCACCGTCATGGATGAGACAAGGTGAGGCGCCATGAGAAGCAGGGAACAGGGGGCTCTGACCAGCTCCCCGTCTCGGATGGCGTTTCCCTGAGGACGTGACAAGTGAACAGGCATTACTAGTAACTAGCACAGTGCAGGGCACCGGGAAGGGACAGCTGCATCCAGGGAAAGGGGGGGCGGAGGCGGGAGAGCAGGGGCCGGTGCAGGCCTGGAGGACTGCTGTGAGCACCCACCAATCCTCCTGCAGGGCGGGGGGGTGGAGGGCGGTGGAGAGGGGCCGATCAGCTT